TTCCGAATGAGCTCTTCATTTGAGATGCACTTACCTCTTTAGTCACCTGCTCGTGCAAACCTCGTTCCAATGTTCCTTTGTCGTCTGGAGTGCCCAGCGCAGGATACAGGTCTCGGAGCCGCCACGCCAGACACGTCACTCCGGACCAGACGGGCACTGCGCCACACACATTCGAAACATTTACAGACTTCACTTCAACCGTCCTCTTCAGAATCTGACCTTGCGGAAGCAAGCGGGTGAAACTCAAGACTCCAATTTCTTTAATGAAACATTTATTCTGCTACGTACATCAAGTTTTATCGCCATCTATAAACGAGGATACTGCTGTTACCCCAGTGTCTCAGAAATTAATATATAAGTAAATTTATAGAGTATGTGGTTGAAGATCACGATTTTTGCCCCTATGAACAGGTTAAGTACGAGAATACGAGTATTCCTAAAACTGAATCCAAACACTTCGACAATTGCCCTTGACTGGTCACTGATTTCATGGCTATCATCATGCACTTGATGTTCTGCAGGGCACGAATCATGACGCAAAGATATGCGTGAACTTCTGACAAACACCGATCAAAACGAATATGCCTAACGCAATCAGGCGTTAAATAGCACGTGTTATGACTACGTTATATTAAGATCGTTTCTGCCGGTATGGGAACCTCAATTCACAGTACAAGTAGACTCTAATGAAGAAACACGTCTAGCGGGCAAAGTAGAGGAAGTTGTAATGCTTGCTAACGCGGGGAAATACTTTGCCCGAAGGGAGTTTCCTTACCGACCTATTACTCGAAGTTATTTAGAAATAAAAACATTTCTTTAGAAAACGACAATTTGAAGTATTAATTTTTCGTATAATATGTTTTCAACGTTTCGAGGACTATATTTTTCATTTAATTAGGATATAAATAAAATTGTATATATTTATAGCGTGAAGGTGGAAAGAATCCTTCGAAGGCGTATGCAAAAATACAGTGAAGAAGAATTAAAACGTCAAGTTCTCTAATTCTAAAGAAAAATATTATTTTATTCAAAAAATTATTTTTTACATCGCGTATCGTCAAGGAAACTCCTGTGGACAAAAACTATTAATCGCCGTCGTAGTGAAAGAATTGTGACAGAAATAAATTAATATATATTTACTATGTGCTTGTCATTAGGTTTCCCTCAGCCAGATAGTGACGAAGTACAAAGAACCAGATAGTGACTCTATTGAGAAACATTTCAAAATACAAAAGCCATTATGCAGACACTCACTCACACCCTCAGCTAGCTCCTCTATTTGCCCTAGCCACTGTCTGCGGACGTTTGGTATTAAATACATTTTCTCCGCATCGTGTAATTGATACTCTGGATCCATGCAAGACGGCAAGCGAGCAGGGGATTAGGGAAATGTTATTCGTCTTTTTGTTGAGATTTTAATTTCATTGTCTTAAAAGTTTAAAAAGACTTTCCGTTAGGACCCAATGTCGAGTTATTCTGCAAAACTGCTACGGAGTTTGAGATATCTTCCATAAATGTAATAGAATGACCAAAAGCGCCTCAAATAACAGATTACGACATAAAGGAAACATAATAGTGTCCCTTGTTTTTCAAGGTTTTCAGAATTTCGTACGATAACAATAATATGAGCTCGTAATGGAGGTTTCATGAGCGCCATATTGATATCCACCTACATCATAATCTGCGAACTTATAAATATGAGTCATAAATATACTTAACGCAGGTCTGAGAGTAATTCCCCCGTTCAGCATGTAGCACGGTTGTGTTTTTGATTCTTATACTAAATTTCGCAAATAAAACACCCGTTCCTTAGCGTCAAAAAGCAGTTATAAATATTATTCTGATATTTGTGGGGGATGAGAGAGAGCGCTTTCTGCCATGTTTCAGTTGTGAGCAGACCTTTTACAGCTCGTATATATGTGTCAAGTCTATATTCGCTCGCTTAACGGACTCGTAGTTGACCAGAGGAACTAACGAAGTTCCTGTGACTCTATACGCAACGTAACCCACTCGTGCTCGCCGATAATCCCAGCTGTGCAGCTGTCCCGAACGTCGAGGCGCTTCGCCGATGAAGTATCGGAAGCGCGACGAGTCCAGGTAAGGTGCCGGCAGCCAATTCACTTTATTGAGTTAGCAGTTCCGCTCCAACCTTCCACGCCACGTGACGTCATGCACGTCCACCTGAAACAGAAAAGACTGAATTAATTAAAATAAAAGCAAAAGATTTGATATATAGGGGCGACTTCCCAACGCAATAGTCATTGGCGGTTCAGGGAATTTGGAAAATATTTTTATGCATTATTATTTATATTATTTTATTATTAATTATTATTAAATATTATTATTATTATTTATTATTATTATATATTAGTATTATTATTATTATTATTAATATTAATATTATTATTATTATTTAACAATATATAAATGCCATATGAACTTTTCAATAATTTATTCAATATATTAATTTAATTAGATTAGATAGTTATAAAATTTTGGCGCGTTCAAACTTTACTCTTTAGAACATAAAGCCAAAAACTTCGCCTATATTAAGAATACTCTTAATTATTCTTGGCCGAAGGCTACCTTGACTTCAGATTCTGTGGACACGATATTTCTAAGGCATTGCCGCAAAAGGTCCCCCTTCACACCTGGGTTGGTTGACGATCAAGTAATATTGCAATCGGAGACTGCTTCACCAGATCGGGAAATTAATCTTCTTGACATGTCGCATTCTTCGTATTGCCACCAAAAGCCCAGTCTTTGACTCTCCCGGCTTACCATACGGGGCGGCCGACGGTTCACGACGATTAAGCCGCGATTTTGGGCGCCCACCACGCGTAATCATTGCAAATTTCAAAACAAGGGACCACCCACGGACAAAGTTTTCCAGTATTTCGGGCTTGGAGCAAAAGGGAGCTTTTTTTCGTGAAAAAGGTCGTGTTTTTTGGACGCCCTTAACGGGGGTCAAATTAAACGTTAGTAAAAAATTGGGATTTTTTTGTTTGTCGTGGAAACTTTTTTTTTTGAATATTTTCCCCCTTTCCCGAAAGTTTGGTACAAAAGTTCCCTTTGCGAGTATACTGAGAGCAATTTCCCAAATGAGCTCTTCCATTTGAGATGCACTAACCTCTTTATCACCTGCTCGTGAACCTCGTTCCAATTTTCCTTGTCGTCTGGAGTGCCCAGCTCAGGATACAGGTCTCGGAGCCGCACGCCAGACACGTTCACTCCGGACCAGACGGGCACTGCGCCACACACATTCGAACATTACAGACGGCACTTCAACCGTCTCTTCCAGATCTGCCCTTCGGAAGAAGGGTGAACTCAAGACTCGATTTCTTTAATGAAACATTTATTCTGCTTACGTACATCGTTTTATCGCCATCTATAAATGAGGATCTGCCTGTACAGTGTCTCAGAATTAATATATATGTAAATTTCTAGAGTATGTGGGTTGAAGATTATCACCTTTTGCCCATGAACAGGTAGTACGAAATACGAGTATCCTAAAACTGAATCAAACACTTGACAATTGCCCTTGATTGGCACTGATGTTCTGGTTCATCATGCACTGATGTTCTGCAGGTGCACGATCTGACGCAAAGATACGTCGTGAACTTGATAAACACCGATCCAAGAGGAGTATCCAAGCAATCAGGGTTAAATTCCACGTGTGTGACTACGTTATATAAGATCGTTTCTGCCGGTTGGAACCTCAATTCACGTACAAGTAGACTCTAATGAGAAACACGTACTAGGGAAAGTAGAGGAAGTTGTATGCTTTGCTACGTCGGGAAATACTTGGCCCGAGGGAGTTTCCTTACCGACCATTACTCGAAGTTAATTTAGAAATAAACATTTCTTTAGAAAACGACAATTTGAAGTTATAATTTTTCGTTAGATATGTTTTCAACGTTTCGAGGACTAATATTTTTTCTTTATATTTAGGATATAAATAAAATTGTATATTATTTATAGCGTGAAGGTGGGAAAAAGATTATTCCTCGAAGGGTTGCAAAAAATACGTGAAGAAGAATTAAAACGTCAAGTTCTCTAATTCTAAAGAAATATTTATTTTATTCAAAAATTATTTTTTTACATCGGTATGTCAAGGAAACTCCTGTGGACAAACTATCTCCCGTCGTAGT